ATTTTGATAGTCTAAAATGTAACCTCAAGAGTCTTTGGGTATTCGGAGGTTTATAAGAAACTGAGGTTAAAAAAAAAAGAATTTTAAGAGCGCAATAAGAGAGTTGGAAGCTTAAGTATAACTCAGTATGACTTAGTCTTACTGTTTAGTGAGTAGTAAAAATCTGGCGAGGGTCAAAATGACAAAACTTTTCATGTCACAGAAAAGTAGTAAAGCATATACAATGAATATTTTATTCGGATCACAGTCGTACATTTGTTTAATTTTGGGGAACCGTGTTAATATACAGATATCAGTAACCAATGTAATGGTCTATATGGATACTTCTACCCATATAAAACATGTAGAATTAGACAGCTTAACAAACCGTATTTAATCTTCAAACATTAAAAATTAGTCACTGAGTAACGCCATATCGGTCATTATCACTGTATGGAATGATTACACCTTAAACATTTTTCAGAATATGGGAGCTATTTACAGAACTGTATAGAAGGAAAATTTTAAGCGTCTTTAACTATGATCTGCACATTGGAAAGGTGTCTCTGCTTCGAAACAGAATCGTTTCTTATAGATTTATACATCATAACTGGGTCCTCCCTCTCCTTGTGGCAATCAGATAGATAAGCGAGATCCTGAAATAACACTGTTAGATGGAGTTACGCTGACTTCCAAAAACAAAAGTTGAAGTGGCTAGGAAAAAGGGGTTGTTGACCCAATTTGAGATATTGCAACATTTCATCTTTCAAACCTGACAAACAAATTTTGAATGTAGCAGAACCTCAGGATGAGCGTTCATTTCTTACATTTAAGTTATGGGAGAGGGGCACATTTACTTCTTAAAGGCAAAGAAATCACCAGTGGGATCTTCCAACCAAGGGTAATTTTGGGGACACTCCATACATGTGTGTAATCTGTTAGTTTCTCCAGGTAACTCTCTTGTGGTCAAAGGACAGGCGTTGGGGATACTGCAGTACGCTTGACCTTTAATGTCGCATTTCTCCTTCCACGGAGCGAAGTCCCGGACGGAGCTGAGTTCTGTTGGTTTTTGCATCCATTGGAGAACCTGCGTCATGGTGACAAAGTAAATGTCGTTCTTCTCCAAGGACTCGTCTATCCAGGTGATCAGAGCCTCCAGGAACTTGGAGTTGAGCTTTAAGAATCCTGCATGGAAATAAAGGCCCAGAGGGGCTCGGTTTGTATTATAGTGACGTTTCAAGTTGTTGTTAAGGAAATTGTAAAACTGATCACGTGTGATAATGTTGCTACAAGTGTCCACCATGGCGCAGCCAGCTAGTTCTTCATCAAAGTCAGGGTCATCACGTCGGTCCAACTCGTTCATAACCATCTCCCAAACAGCGTGAGAACGAGTAGGACAGTGCTGTCCATTACCATGGCATTTATGAGGCATACTGAAGTAAAGAGTATAAGGCCAGAGAGGAGGGTTACTGAGGGGGGCGCTGACAGATGAGTCGTACAGAAAAGCCTGTTCTTCCATCATGGAAAATTGATTATTACCACCAACACGTAGATAAGGAGCACGGACACCGACAACGGAATTGTCTGTGATATTCGCAAAACGTTCAATAATGAGACGGGAACCAGCCATTTCCTTTGCCCAAGTGTCGATATCAGCGTTCGTCCAATACTTCTCGTTATTGCGGTGTCTGTAAAAACAAATCACACAGAATGATTACTAAGGAAATTTGAATGTAACCACTACTTCTATTTCTCATTCCAAAAGCTAAAAAACTCTAGGCCAAAATACATGTAAGTGAAAACAGAGAACAAAGAAAGAAGAAACTTATTAAATTTCATTTGATCATTTTCATAAATCGTTTTTCCGCAATTAAAGAACTATGACGTCACAATACAACTATGTATTCGAAATATATTGACAGCGTTTTATGGACTTCTAATATCTGTTCTCTTGGTTTATGGAAGATGTCTCAGACTAAGCAGATGAAGTCGATAGAAAACACTCAGCCGCACTTAAAGAATTTAAGTCGTTTTAAAACTTATCCGTGAGTATCTAATCCTACTTTTTATACCAGTAATAGTTTATTTGGTACTTACGTGATGGAATGACTTGCTATTTCGTGACCTTTCCTATGCAGCTCTTGTACAGCAGAATAGTTGGTGTACTTGTGAGAGATAAAAAACGTGGCTTTAACAGAACATCCATTGGGATTGTTCCGGCCCTCTTTGAAAATATCGTGGTATACAGCCAGGTTGTTGACATTAACAGCATCGTCGAACGTGATGGTTACCATTTGAGGGATATTATTTGGTTCCAGTTTTCCAGGGATCTGGGTTCCATCAGGAGAACAAAAACAGTCGGGAAGTATACACTGGCTTTGATCACACAGTGGTGCTCTATTGGGATCATGTTCCGCTGTAAAGATTGGTCAGAAGAAAATGTTTTATATCGGCGAAGAAACTAGTAATAAAGTAGAAAATTAAAACATTCACAGACGTTAAAGGTAAGTAAACAGGGATGACGAGAGTTAAGCAAAATACCAGCTATTCTGAGAAAGATGAAATATGCAGCAATTAGGAAATAAATCGAAAATTTGGAGCGTCTTTGCAAACCAATAGCTTTTCCATCCTTTTTTTTAATTTTGTTTTTTAAAACTGTAAATCACGAAATCAACCAATCTGTGAAATCGAAAATCTGGAGCGTCTTTGCAAACCAATCGCTTTTCCATTCTTTTTTTTTAATTTTGTTTTTTAAAACTGTAAATCACGAAATCAACCAATCTGTGTTTGTTTTTCGTAAAAATGGAACTTTGATATTGAAAAGTGAATCAAAATAAAGCTATAAAATCCTCAGAACTGCATTTCAAAAGACACACAAACTATAAATTAGGTTTAAACAAATAAATTTAAGTTGGAAGTTTGACAATTTGCCAGCCCCCCCCCCCCCAGTGGCACAGCGGTATGTCTGCGGACGTACAACGCTAGAAACCGGGTTTCGATACCCGTGGTAAGCAGAGCACAGATAGCCCTTGTGTAGCTTTGTGCGTAGTTAAAAAACAAACAAACTTGAGAATTTGTCCCCTCTCTTTTCTTTGCCTCTGAAAAAACTAAGATCGAAACTAAATTATAGAAGATTTTTCTGAAAGTAACATTTTAATTGAAAATAATGAGTAAATACTTACTGCAAGCGTTCTCATCAGATTCATCCGAACAGTCGGGAATACCATTGCAAAAAAGTTCTCTTTCCATACAGTCGCCATTTCCACATGCCAGTTTATCACCGCTGCAGATTGGTTCATTCGTAGAATAAAGGGGTGTAGCAAGTCTCTTTTTCTCAACTTGTTCGCAGTTATTTACCTCATCTCTCCAGTTGCACGTTTGACTTTCGATGTCAAAGACGAGCCCCGAAGGACACCTTAAGGCTAGTAAACCTTGTGTGGAACATCTGACAACATCGCGACATTCCTCTTCTGGAGAAAGACGGAAATATTCCCCTGGAAGTCTGCCTTTGCATAAATCTGCATCATTCTGACTAATTCTCAGTGGAGCACCCTCTGACTGTCGTTTGACAATGGATACTGTTGAAACTGAAATGAAAAGTAAGAAACGCAAAACTGCAAACGATGTGATATGATTTATGGAATATCGCTTTTACCCAAAACACAGTGATGAAAGAAAAACAAGACAAACAGTTATGATATCGTTTGTACAACTCACTTAACTAACAAATATGGCAAAATATGTCACTAAGAGTTTACACACAAAGAATTGTTTGGTGAAAATTAAAATTTCGCATATATAGCATAGCGCCCCCTTATGGACGTTGCGTGTGAACAGCTAAAGTTTAAAGAGCACGTCTTCTCAGCAAAGCCTTTTCTCGAATATATACGAGTATCAATGAATGAAGCCCAACCAATTTTCTCGGTAGCTCAGCGGCAAGACATAAGGACTATAACACTAAAAATTAAGATTGGATACCCGTAACGGTAACAAAGCATTTTGAAGCATTGCGATTAAAAACAAAACTGTATGGAAACAAACTAACATGTTATAACTCATCCAGTTGAGAATTTTACCTTAAACCTAGTTGTAAATAATAAAGTACACTCATACTTCTTAAATGAAAGACAGTTTTATATTTATTTATATTTGCATTAATCGACTGTAGTACTGAGCTAGGCCCAGCATGGCCAGGTGGTTAGGACGCTCGACTCGCAATCTGCGGGTCGCGGGTTCGCATCCCCATCACACCAAATATGCTCGCCCTTTCAGCTGTGGGGGCGTTATAATGTGACGGTCAATCCCACTATTCGTTGGTCAAAGAGTAGCCCAAGAGTTGGCGGTGGGTGGTGATGACTAGCTGCCTTCCCTCTAGTCTTACACTGCTAAATTAGGGACGGCTAGCGCAGATAGCCCTCGTGTAGCTTTGCGCGAAATTCAAAACAAACAAACAAGTACTGAGCTAAAAACTGAAACAGTAATAATGTTTGTTTGTTTGTAATTAAGCACAAAGTTACACAATAGGCTATCGAAACCCGAATTCTAGAGCTGTTAGTTCGCAGACATACCGCTGGGGGGCACAGTAATAATGAAACACTGTTTTGTTAGAACATCAAACATGTCATATAAAAATGTCCATGACATATTTTGCCATATTTGTTATTGCTAGAACATCAAACATGTCATATAAAAATGTCCATGACATATTTTGCCATATTTGTTATTGCTAGAACATTAAACATGTCATATAAAAATGTCCATGACATATTTTGCCATATTTGTTATTGCTAGAACATTAAACATGTCATATAAAAATGTCCATGACATATTTTGCCATATTTGTTATTGCTAGAACATTAAACATGTCATATAAAAATGTCCATGACATATTT